CATTTAGATATAAAAATCCTATCCATTTCTTTTTCAATTATTCCTCCCCGTTTTTTTCGAAATTGTTATTCTAAGCAAAGCTACCACGGCATCTCCGAGTGACCTACTCATACAGTTATTAAAGAGCCAGCAACCCTGAAGCACATTTTAACGGGTCTATTTTCATGTTTCCGCAGCCGCACCCAACTTATTTATTTTTAAAAAGCAGTTTCTACTAATCCCTTTCCCAACCCTCAAAGCTAATACAGAGTTTGCTCTAAAGACGTTAAGTAAAGACACGGCTTCTTTCGTTCAGGATTGGTTTTATTGGTGGTGGTGTTGGCGGTGTTGTTGTTTTTCCAACCAACTTTCTACAGCAGGAGAGAGGAAGCAGCAACAAGGAGGAAAGGAAAAGAAAAGAAAAAAAAAAAAAAGAGGAAACTGTTTAGAATATACAGCATTTCCGTTTGGGTTGAGTTTCCGGGGGTTCGAGAGCGGCTAGGATAGCCTCATCAAATACATTCTTCAGACCTCTCTATAAGACATAGGGGGGAGGAGAAAAAGATAGTAGCTTTGTTAGAGGGTTAGAGAGAGAGAGAGAGACACACACACACAGACACACACACACACACACACACATACACACACACACAGGCAGATACAAAAGAGCATTCAGGAACAAAAGTGTCCAGTGGAAGCAGATTTACTTTTGGCCCAAAGAGGATCTTCGGAGGAGGAAAGGAGAGGCAAGCGGAGCGAAGGGTTCACATGCATTCTACCTGAACACCAGTTCTCATACAAAGAGAAGGCCTTTACTTAAGGAGCGGCGTGGTGGCCTGGAGGTAGAGCTCTCTCACCTCGCAAGCAGGAGGCTGTGAGTTCGATCCTAGGGAGAGGCAGGTCTTTCTCTCTCCAGGCGCAATGAGAATATATCTGCTGAACAAAACTCCGCACCGGTGACAGGAAGGGCAGCTAGCCAATAAACACTCAGCTCCATTCAGTTGCCTCCATACCGCAAGGGATTATGGGGTCATTAAAAAGATGAGGAGGATAAGGTCTTTACTTAAATGTGACATCGGATTCTTTCCACATTAACACCGGGGGCGGGACGGGGGACACAACCTGATTTTTTGTGTGTAGGAGGCGGCTCTGACTATCCAGGCCCTTTCGGCTCATGAGCACGATACTATGAGGATTGCTCTGCAAACCACACGATGGCTTCTTAACCAGAGTTACAACTGGCCAGCTCCATGCCCTCGATAGAAACTAACCAGGTTTTGACTACAAAGTGTGAAAAGGAGAACTTAGGTTAACCAGCATTTGCTACTCGGATTTGTTAGCAAAATTCACAGGATGAACCAGCTATTCCAAGGGTGGCCATTTCCAATTCTTCACTTACTACCCTCGGCCCACCCCACCTTCGGAGTTAGTTTCTCGTGAGAGGGGAGGCTGCACAAATACGACGGATGAATAATCTGCCCTCTGGTTTTAATATTTCAGCCTGCCACAGGCAGAGTAAAATTAGAGAAAGGCATCGACTTTCCAACAGCTGTTCCCATACAACTGGACGTGAGTTTGCTACCAAGAAACGCGTTAATACTTCAACAGGAAACTAATTACATTCGTGTCTAGAATAGCTCCCTTCCCATTTTCTGGGCCGAGGGAAAACTACTCGGCGTTTCCAACATGAGAAATTCAACCTGTGGGATACTCGGTCAACTCCAAGTGATAAGGCAGACAGGGGGGGAGGGAAATTGCAGATAAAATGCCCTCCATCTGTCTGCAATAGTCACATCAGCACGCAGAGTCCTGATCTGCAGCAACAGATTATTTTCTAAGAAAAGAAACCACCACCACCGCAGCCAACGGGAACGCTTGGCACAAAACTGAACTAGTCTTAAATCTACTGTGAGATATGAAATTATCTATCAGCACCAGCGGAGGATCTTCTATGAACTGTATATATTAACAAAGCTCTCCACAAAAACTTTCAAATGTGGTTAAGGTGTGCCTGTATTTATGGAAAGGGTCTCTAAAAGGCTAGTTGTCTAAGGGGGAAAAAAATGAGAATTTGGGGTTTCAGGACTAGCCAACTTCTCCTAGGAAGCTCATCTGACATGAAAGAAGCAATTGAATCAGGTTTCCTATTTATGTACCAGATATTTCCTAGCAACGTATCCCCGATTAGAATATATACATATACACATATCCTCTTAGAAGCATTACAATTGGTTCTAAATTGTTTATAATTGATACTGTGCTACATTTTAAGATCAGTGCCTTAACATTATTACAAACCTATACATAGTTTCAGAAAATGTTTACATAGTTTCAGAATAAATTGAGTGCTATAGACTAAAAAAGGGTTTTTCCTATAGCATTTCTTTTTTTATCTAGGAGATAAAAATCTGAACAGACTCCTTCGTGTTCAAGAGACACATTAGTTCTAAACACAGTTCCCATTTCATAGGCATTTATTTTAATCTGCCTTTTTATACAGAAGCATTCTTCGGATTAATAATAGTATTTAATTAATCGCATTTTTTTTAAACAATCCTATCTTTAAGAAAACAAGCAGGAACATTTGATTGGCATTAGAATTTGTTCTTGGCTGTGCGCAGCAGCCACGACACTTGGAATGAAGGAAGACTAGACAATTGAAAGTTTATTTTAAAACTAGGCTGAATTACTTCTTGCATCAAACATGCTTCGGTTTCTTTTCACTTCTGTTTGGCTTTGTGTTCTTCTTTTTTATTTCCTCTTATGTTCATATTAAAACAAGAACTTTTTTTTCAAAAAAAGCTAACCACATTTGCTGAGGCTTTCCTTCCAAGTGCAAGAATTAAGTTGCTCTGGACGTACCTTGATTTCTATTGCTTATTTGACACTTTACACTCCAGAATGCCAACCTCCCTCTCAAAAATATTGTTTAAGTAGGGGAGGAAACATCCCTTATCTCCATTCCCCACTAGAAGAAAATGCTTCTAAAACTTTCCCTCCCTGACACTTTAATGCAGTTCAGGGAAGATTTCAGTTACAGTTAGTCCTTACAACAGTTCGCTTAGTGACTGAAATTACAACGGCACTGAAAAAAATGGCATCCCCATGGCCACGTGATCAAAATTCAGATGGTTGGCAACTCCTATTTATGATGGTTGCAGCGTCGCACGAATCCCCTTCTGACAAGCAGTCCATGGGGAAGCTGGGGCTCGCTTAACGACTGTGTGACTAACTTAAGAACGGCAGTGATTTGTTAAAGAAAGGTGGCAGGAAAGTCCGTTAAATGGGGCAAAGTTCACTTAACCACAGAAATTCTGAGCTGAAAGTCAAAGTCTACCTCTAATTTATGCCCTGCCCCACCTTTTAACGCTGGGGGTGAACTCAGAGAGCTATCATTCAAAACTGTGTATTAATACCATCCTTTGGCTCTTCCGTAACTCCCTGAAGGTGCTCGGTTTCTGACAATACCACCTCGCAATTCTGATGCTGCGCACACTGTGTAACTCAGGCAATTTAGCCCCTCCTGCCCAACCACCAAGTCCCTTTGCCACCATGCCATCGCCTCCCTCCCTGCCTCGTGCCATCCCTGACCCTTTCCTCCCTGGGCCTGCATAAGGAGGGTGCACTTATCAGGCAACCAACTCTGCACACCATCCATTAAAAAAAAACACCTTTTCTTATCTTGCATCCACAGACCACGAATAAATCGTAACATCCGAGTTGAAAAACTTTGCAGGGTGAGCCCGACAGATTCTGGGTTGCCCAACAAGCCTAACCTGCTTGTTTCGACCGTCACCTCCTCCTCCTCCTGCCTTTTGCAATTATCCAATTTATCATCCAAAGGCTATTGAGACACCGGCTCTGCTTGCAATTAAGGTTTTGAATCAATGGGGAGTTAAATACGAAGGGGAGTGCCGGGACGCTGAATGGCCGTCTCCATTTGCTTTACGCAACCCAATTTATTGCTGTTTTTTAAAAAGCACCGCATGCAAAAGTTGGTCCAAGAGATTTGTGGGGTTTTTTTGGCCGATCCTACCTTGAGAATGTTTACAGGTGACTGACAGCTGCACAAACCGATGGCGAGACCCTTCCAAGAGGAACTTACCTGTCGGAAGGCCCGTTGCCCTCTGAGGTTCTGCCCCACCCAACTTCCGCTAACAACCGCCATGCACATAGATTTGGACTGGGGGGGGGGGGCAGCTTACCTGTGTGAGCGCAGAGCATTCCACGTATTTGACAGCTTTCAAGTCCCGCGCCAGTTTCTCCGCGGCCTCGGGAGTGATGGGCTTCTGCTTATTCTTGGCGAGCTTCTCGATCGTCGAAGGGTCGTCTCGGAGGTCAATCTGGGTCCCGACGAGCAGAAACGGAGTCTTCGGACAATGGTGAGTGATTTCGGGGACCCACTGGAGAGAGGGGGGGGGAAACGTCACCGGCCGTCAGGTTAAAAAAAAAAAAAACATCGCATGAACGAAACACTGGGCTGTTACCGTTGAGCGGGGCTCTTCAGACTTGGCAGCTTTTAAGACTTGTGGACTTCAACGCCCAGAATTCCTCCTCCCGTCATGTTAGCTCAGGAATTCTGGGCGTTGAAGCCCACAAGTCTTAAAAGCTGCCAAGTCTGAAGAGCCCTTGACGTTGAGGGTTGAAAGGCACCCAGGGCAGAGAATATGGGAAGCCCAGGATGGAACTGTAGGGGTGTGCATTGCTCTCTAAGCGCGGTTCTCTTTTTGCAGGTGCTTCATGATCCAACTAGTTTTAATATCACGAGTCCCCGGTGGTGCGGTGCTTAGGATGCAGGATGGCAGGCGACTCAGCCTTCCGAGGTTGGTAAAATGAGGATCTAGATTGCGGGGGGGGGGGGGGGGAATAATGCTGACTCTAAACCGCTTAGAAAAAGCCGTAAAGCAGTATGAAGCGGTATATAAGTCTCAGGGCTATTCTCTTCTATTTCCCTTCTATTCTATTATTTTCCTGTTATTCTGTTCTGTTCTCTATTCTGCATTCTATTCTATTCTGCATTCTATTCTATTCTATTCTATTCTATTCTATTCTATTCTGCATTCCTTATTCTGTTCTATTTTCTATTCTATGATGGCACAGTGATTAGAATGCAGGATTGCAGGCTAACCATTCCCACAGCCAGGAGTTTGATCCTGACTGGCTCAAGGACAATTCAGCCTTCTGAGGCCAGTAGAATGAGGACGCAGGTTGTTGGAGTCTGCCATCCACTTAAGAGAGGGCTGAAATGCACTGTGAGGCGGCACACAAGTCTAAGGGCTACGGCTGCTGCTATCAGTCTGATGGTATTGCCCTAGTTTGGTTAATGAAACGCCCGCAAGAATGCAACCGAGGCTCCGGGAGCACCAGGGAGCCCTGGGATCAAAAGCCTCCTGCCATGGGTGCAGACCGAACGCCCTCACCTTTTCCTTAACGTTTTCAAACGAAGAGGGCGAGACCACAGAGAAGCAGACCAGAAACACATCCGTCTGTGGGTAGCTGAGGGGCCGTAATCTGTCATAATCTTCCTGTCCTGGGGGGAAAAAAAAAATAAGAGACCGACATTAGAAACCTGGTCTCTGGATGAAGAAAAAAGTACGACGGCAACATTTCACACAGGTGTACAGGTAGTCCTCGACTTACTGACCCCAACCTTTAGGTCGCTAAGGGGAGAAACGTGTTAAAAGTGAGTTTTGCTCCATTTTATGGCCACAGCTGTTAAGGTAATCACTGCAGTTGTTAAGTTAGCCATACGGTCGTTAAGTGAATCTGGCTTCCCCACTGACTTTGCTGGACAGGAGACCCCGGGGGCAATGTTACCGTCATAAATATGAGTCAGTTGCCAAGGGTACAGATTTAAATCACATGACCATGGGGGTGGCTGCAACGGTCATTAAGTGTGGAAAAATGGTGCTAAGTCATTTTTTCCTCAATGCCGCTGTAACTTCAGTCACTAAGCGAACTGCTGCAAACCGAGAACCACCGGTACATCTGTCAGTGGCTTTAGAATTTTAGCTCAGGTATATATCAGTATGAGAAAGGAACATTGCTGAAGAGATTCAGGCAAAACTGCCCTCTTCTCTTTCAGGCGACTCAAACTTTAAGCTGTGCGCATTCCAAAGGGAAGCGTCCCCCCCTTTCCGCCTGTGACTCAGAAGTCCAAATGATAACATGTAAATAAGCAGGGATGTAATTCCCAGAATAAAATCCAGTTGCACTTTCAGATTGTTGCTTCTAGAAGGAAGAACGGCCCCACTGTATCGGATAGCTGTGAGGACAGAAGTCAAGGTTTACTCCAAGGCCAGACACAAATGCTGTTAATCCTCCACTTTCTGAGGAAAGATCGAGGCGACGCTTGGTACAATAAATGTAACGGTGCAGATCACTAGCAGTTCTGCTTCTGAAGAAGCTGTACCTAAAAAAATGTCCTTTCTATCCGAGATATGCAAAGCAGGAAATGACAGCTGTAGTCATCCCGAGTGTCATTTCCCAAACCAAGACATTCTGGCAGATTCAACTCGTTCACAGAGTACAAGGCCCAGAAGGGATTTTAAAGAGGAGAAAAGCAAGAACTATCCACCAAGGAACATTTTATTCCTTCCCTCTTCTAGGAAGGCTTCCAAAGCAGCTTACAAATTAAAAAACGAACAGTCCCACCGAGGGAAAAGGGGTATGTTTGGAAAGGAACCACAAAACAAACTAGCATTCTTTACATTACATTGCTTTGAGCGGTTATAATATTTCTCTGGTTTTCGGCATACTTGTACATTGAAGTTTTATCAACAGTCAGTCAAGCTGTGCCATAGCAACTACAAACCCCTCTTCGCCTTCTTCCTCAAAAGATGAACAGACTTAAAAAGCAGTTACCTGCGGTATCAAACAGGCCTAAGGTGTATGGCTCCCCGCCAATCATCACTGTTACAGCATAGTTATCGAACACCTGCGGAGTTAAAAGACAAGGAACAGCTTTCAGCATCGATCATTCATCTGCCAAACATAAAGCATACCTGGGACTTAAATCAACTGTTTATATAGAAATATGAACCTGTAAGAAACCAGCAGAACAAGTCCATCCATCAGTAGTGGGTAACAGTCTAATCTAGTTGGGAAAGGAACCCCCTTTCAAAATTTGCTATCGCTAATTTAATCAGCAAAATATATCCTTAACCAGCAGGCAACAACATCAATGACAATGGGACCCAACCTGCCCTACTCAGAACCATTATTTTTAATCAATGAAGTCAACGTGTAATTACAATATTTTAAGTTTCCCGCCTACAAATCAAAGGCTTTTCTTTTTTTAAGAAAAACCAGCAGACTGACATTTGAACCTAAGTGGACATTTTAAAACACAACGTTGTTATAGATTAAATAACTTGATTTAAATAATCTTCCAAGCAGTGAAACACACTTGAATATGCTGGCTTAAAAACCGGGAAACTTGAGTGCTAGGTTTTCCTTAGGCCTGAAAACCAGTCACTCACTCTTGCCCAACCCACTTCACAAGGTGGTGGGTGTGGGGAAAACTGGGAGGCAGGAATATTAGGTACGTTGTTCACTGCCTTAAGTTGTGTTTAAAAAGGCAGGAATAAAAATGTAATCTAATTGGTATTATAAAACTAATTAAATGGCTATGTACTAAGGTCAGTATTCACATATGTACACAGCTAGTCTTATTTTGGAGGGGGGTATTTTGTGCTGCATTTAGAAACAATTACAAAATGATAAACATAACTTAGGATACATCAGTGCCTGTATAACACACCTTTTCACTGTTGTTCAACCCAGGGAAAGATATATTAATTTAATGCTGGTTAAATGTACTGCAAACAGTTATTAACTTACCTTTGTTTATGTAAAGTTCAGGATGTACATATGATCTTGATTTGGGAAGGTACAACTGATCCCCCATTTATTTATCTACTTCATCTGAAGTTTGGGTCAAAATCTCCAGCAAGGTTTAGTATTTAAGTATTTAAATCTAAACCCCTTGCTCTTAGTACTGGGCCAAACACTTAAAAAGTTTTGTTAAGCATGTCAGAGCGAGCAAAGTAACCCCGCTGGAAGCATTAAGCCACCTTTGGAATATTTGAATCCACTGAGAGAATATTTGTAGCTCAGGGTTGGACCGTGGGGTCCTTGGTGCACTGATGATGTTACCTAGTTTGGTAAGGAAATGTCTGCAAGAATACAACCAACCTCAGAGAGCACCGAGGGTACCCAAGCTGTCACCAGTTGTTTGCATACCTAGACAATTAACTGAGACTGCCAGAGGAGAAGAGCCTTCAGCATATATATACACGCTGAAGACTATTCTCCACTGGCAGTCTCAGTTCATCCATTGTCTAGGTGTGCAAATGCAGACGGCCAAGCCTTGAAAAGGATGTGGCTCCTTTAATGCTCACTCATCCATGTTGCTGAATGCCTCCTTCAAATGCTTTGCCGGACCTGCTAGCCATTGTTTCTACTACCATCATCACTGGTTAGGGTTTTATTTCATACATATATATCTAATTGGCAGTGCCATAATTCTCTGTTAACCTTGTACAAGAAAAAAGAGAGAGATAAAGTACCACCTTTTACTCACCGTTGGTACATATTCAGAGGGGAATTTATTTGTTGTATAAGAAATTAGAAGACATGTTTTACCAACAGCACCATCTCCCACAACCACACATTTAATTGTCTGCATAGTTCAAATTTGTTGCTATATCAGGTCCAAAATTAATCTGGGAAAAAAAACAGGAAGTCAGGTAATTATGTGAAGGATAGAAAACGTTTTATTATTGTTATTGCACTTTCAGCATATGCCTCTCAAGAAATTCAGCTACAGTAAGTAGAACCCCCCAAAAGCAGATCAAAAGAGAACAGGAGCATGAAAGGGAGATTAAAACCAATTTTCCCCCACCTAATCTAGCTGATTATAAGATTCTGAATTAAATTTTAGCTTTGTTCCTTCGCAAGGAAAGTTCTAGGAAATCCCATGAAAAATGTGTTATTCTCAAGGGATCCTGGGTGGTAGAAACATTGATGAAAAGGCTCTGAATCATGACTAACAAGAAGCAAAAGGCTCTTTTTCTCCCCCCCAAACAGAAAATGCCAGCATTTGCATAACACGTCCTGTACAGATTTTTCTGTAAAGCAGGAATATGAAACAAGAGGTTGTGTAGTGCAATGTAAGGACTTACATTAACATCACACATCATGCAACACAACGTAAAACTTTTATTACTCATACCGGCGCTAAGCTTCATGCCAATGTTAGAATTTGGTTTTAACCACGAGAACTTTCCTTCCTGTTTTGCAAGTAGGCACTCGGAGGTAACAATCGCATTCCATCTTACTGTATTTCTATCATTTGTACGTCACACCAAAAGAACATGCTTTTTCAGGATGCTGAAATCTACCAACACCAAAATCCTTCTGCAATTTTTAATTCTGCTATAAGTCATTCCAGTTCTGGGGGTGGGGAAATGAAAACCAGCAGTAGTTTTCTTATTCTTCTGATGAAATTTTCAAGGTTCACGCATGTGCATGGTCCTATACCCTCAATAGCAACCTTTCTAAGAAATCCAGAAGTTCTTAGAAGTTGGCTGGTTCATCATCTAAATGTAGAGGTGAATTATTTTGAACAGCACAGATTTATACCAAGTAATGACAATTACTGTACGGCCCCTTCCTATTTGTGGGAGTGTTCCTCTGTATCACTGAACTTTGACTGGTTTCTTTTCATGTTTCTCTCCACATCAATGGGCCTACCAACAAGGAAGCAGAGCTGCAAAAGTATTGGAGACTGTTGATATAGGGTTTTAGGGAATTGGAGTAAATAATACCATAATGAAAGCTTGTTAAGACTTATTAGAGTCTCATCAAGATGCATCTCAAGAGAATATATAATTATTTTCTTCTGCAGGAGGCCTGTTATGCAGCCACAGTAAACCTGGTCTGTGTGCTTGTACACAAACTTTACTTTTCACTGTGGTACAACATCTATACACTTCTGATTATTTTTCACTCACATTTGTTACATTTCATCTAAAATGGAAAATGTTTTTTCTAAGAGTCTAAACAAAAATGAGTAACTTAGTATTCTACCACATCGAGAACAAATATCTGGATCTCTACTCTGGTCAGAAAAGATTAAAATGAGCATCTTTTAAAATTTAACCAGTCATAGAAAATGAAGACGCTAAAGTGCTCTAAGTTTTTAGGTTTCAAACAGACAGCCCACCTGCTGCATAACACCCCAGATGTAACAACTATTGATAAGACAAAAAAAAATCTGGATTGTGGACAATATCTGGAGACAGAAGAATAGAAGAGGAAGAACTAGAAAAAGTCATCAAATAATATCTGCAAACAGAAGAACTGCTGTGGCAAAAAAAAAGCAAAGATAGTACCAATAGTAATAGGCATTTTGGGTGCAATCACAAACATCTGGAGCATCACTGGAACACTGTCAGCATTGACAAAATAACCATCAGTCAATTGCAAAACCCACTTTAGGGAAACAAACCTTGAAATTATAAGGCTGCTTTCTTCTATATATAGCATACAATATGGTAGAGATTGGACATCTTACATCCAGTATGAAATGATACCTAATTCTTAGCATATGTACAATCCCAGTAACTGCCAAATTAGCAAATTTAATTATTGCTATCCATTTCTTGGCATTTAAGCTGGGACTGAAGAACTGTTTATTGCATATTCTGCACAGAATTTGAACAACCCCCGAGAGGTTTTTCATATGACATGTTTGAACACATTTTTCCAAAACAGGGGGAATACCTAAGTGGCATTGTCAAAATGACCGATCAGAGACCAATCAACACAAAGGAATATGACGACCTAGGACAAATCAACACGCTGATCTTCCCCACTCACCAACACAAACCGATGGGCAGAAATTTTCCAGCTCTCTGTGCAAGTGCATACAAAAAGGAAATTTTAAAGCGTAAGCAACCACAAACAAAAGTTGATTTGCAATCCCTCAAGTTATTGGCTCTCCTGATTCGTGCCTGTCTTGCAACCTTTCTTGCAACTATGCCAAAATGGGTGCCTGACTGGGACAGGCAAGCAGAAACTCTGCAGGCACTTAAGCCCACCCGCTCCTTCGCCTATCAAATCAGCAAAGATAACAAGAAGGTCTCCAATGCCATCTCCGGCCAGGCTTACATTTGAAACCTCTCCTTATCTCTTTCCTTCACACAATTCAGCTCACCGAGCCTTCAATCTGGACTGGTAATAAAAACTAAACATGGATGGTGTAGCACATTTGAAATGCTTTGTATGTCAAGGAACACAAAACCTCTTATCATCCTGAGATGGGGAAGATTTCTTTGTAGATTCTTCTGCATTCCCAGAACAGATGGCCTACAAAACAGGGACTTTCTAATTCAGAGGTTTTTTTCTACATTAGGAGAACCGCTAAAGCATCTTAAAAACAAGACTTAATTTTTTTTCAGAATGTCCACATTCCATGTATCACTCAGGGGACAGAATTTTAGATTGAAAATAAAGTGTGCATGCAAAATACTGACCTAAATGAAGTATTAGAAAGAGCATTATGAGACATATTATATACCGAGTTCATTCACAAAGAGTACCAAGGACACTGCTCTCTACAATTATTATATACATCTAAGCAATCATTAAAGGACTATCATTTCCACATTACAGGTGAGCCAATCTCCATTTGAATATGTAAAAAAACTAATTGTTTAAAAAAATGCTCTGATTCAACTCACTATATCATTATATAAGAGAATCCACTTTTATGATTCCCATAACTGCTTGTTTAAATACTAGTTACTAATATACAACTGTATAATCTGTATTTATGTTGTTGGCTCCCCTGAATTATTCTTTATCCTAAACCAAGGAAACGAATGGACATTTAAACTGTAAAAATTCTACTGGATTAAGATGGGGGGGGGGGAATCTTCGCTAATGTAGCGTATAATGCTATTCAAATCAGAGAGATGGTCTAACTAGCTTTTATAATCCCTTTGCTTCTGATCTTGGGGATTCAAGCTAGTGATGACACAGTATAATCCTGCCTTTTTCACCTATGAAATTCAATGCTATACACACCCATTCTTGAGACAGTGGGGTTCAAAGGCTGCAGAAGCCTCCTCCACAGTGGTGAGGAGACCTCCCAGAGGTAAATTCGATTGGGGAAGAGAAGCAAAGCTTCCCACCAGTAACTCAAATGCTGCCATTTTGCCTGCTGCCATCCAGATAAAAAGAACCTATGTCAAACGTACCAGTCAGGGGTCTCCCATCAGGCAGACCAGGGGGTCTCCAAACTTAGCAACTTTTAAGACTTGTGGATTTGGCTGCATGGCTGGCTGAGAATTCTGGGAGTTGAAGTCCACAAGCCTTAAAATTGCAAAGTTTGGAGAGACCCCTGAGGTAAGCCATTACATTTTGGGTATATACAACATACCTATAGTACTGCCTAAATTAATTGGGAGTTTAGCCCGTGCAAAAAAAAAAACCCCTTATGACTAAACATTCCCAGTCAATGCAAGAGAGCCCTGAACTGGATTCCCAGCACTTTGTGCATGTTGAAACCTGTTGAGATTTTAATGGGGAGTCTGAGCTGGGTTGCCTTTGGCCCCACGATATAGCCCAGGAGAAGTGGGCGAAATCCCCCAACCTGCCCCCTTTCCTAAACATCCTCAACCAGCCCCATCTTTCCAAGCCGTTTTCCGTCTTAGAATTCTAGGACTGGAAGGGACCTCGGAGTTCTTCTTCTAGACTTCAACTCCCAGAATTCCCCAGCCAGCCTTAAGTGCTTTAAGGCAAATTGAAACCACAGAATCACAGAAAAATGGAAAAGGAAGGAAGGAAGGGGAAGAGGACAGAGGAAAGAGAAAGGAAAGGGAGGGAGGGAAAGAAGGCAAGGAGAAGGAAAGGAGAAGGAAGAGGAGGAGGAAAGGAGGAGGAAGAAAGGAACGAAGGAGAAGGAGGGAGAGAAGGAAGGGAGAGATGAAAAGGAGAAGGAAGAAGAGAAAGTGGGGAGGAGGAAGAAAGGAAGGAATGGAGGAGGAGGCTGGAGAAGGAACGAAAGAATAAAGGGAGGGGAGGGAAGAAATGAAAGGAAGGAAGAAATAATGGGGGAGGAGAAAGAGAAAGGAAGGGAGGAATAGAGGAGAAGGAAGAAGGAAGGAAAGAAGAAGGAAAGGAGGCCTCTTTCCCCATCTGCCTCCCTCCTCCGCCAGGAACGCTGGGAAGGCAGCGGGGAGGACCCCCCCTCCCCCTATTCTCCCCCACCCTTTATCCTCCCCTCCCCCAGCGCCGGAAGTGACCGATCCTTCCCGCGGCCCGGCTCTCTATGGTCTTCCGGGCCTCTTCGCCCCCTTCCTG